TTAGGTCTAATTACAAGTTCATACATCCACTTTCTAATCCACTCTCAACTGGGAGAAATGCCTGGGAGAAACGGCATCTACTAATGGCATTGAGAATCCTTTTTAGAGCATATCTTGTAAGCATCTTCCACAAATAGACCAGCAGAGTTTGTTTATCTGTGTGGTTCTGTGCCATTTCCAGCATCCCCAGCTGCTTTCTCACCTGTTCTTACACACCATCGATCAAAATGACTTCTAATAGATTTTATTAGTAAGTCTGAAAGCAGTGGTAGCATGGCAACGGTGGGAGCTATAGACAGACGGGTGGCGTCAGCTGTCTCTCAGACACTGGGCTCTGATTGCTGAGTGGAGGTATGAATGTGAGTTACTTCCTGTTTCCGCCTGATAATTTAGAATATCCTATTTATACACTGCTGATTAGCATAACATCGAGCAGCCGAAGACACACTGTTTTTTTCCTGTGCTACGGGTGTGTTTTGGGAAGTTTGACTGATTATTTATGATTCTTTTTTACAGCTGCATGTGTTTGTACATTGAATTTAAACCTATTGCTTTCTCATGTAAATAAACTACTTGTGAATATTTCTTCCTATAAACGTAACCCCTTAAGGAAGACATATTATGCTTTTGTTTGCTATTATTTTGAATATTAGACATTGCAATATTGATGTAAAACAACTTAATAAAACAAAACAGTTAGCTGAGTTGACTTCTAGTTGAAAACTGCATCACTGATTCATGCCACCAAAAATATCAACAACTAACTCTGCCACTCAGACGCTACTGAATGCTCTGTGTTTCACCAATTAAGAAAAAAAAAAAAAAATCAAACAATGAAGTACAGAGCAGTGGACGTGTATGTGGATCAGTGAAAATGGTATCTTAAATGCAGAAGAATAAAGATTACACAAACGTGCATCAAATACTCCACATACAGCTTCAAGTGGGTCATTAAAAGAGAACGGAAAACAATTAATAAAATGGTAAATCTTTTAAAAGTACGTTTTGCATAACATGTTCTCTTAAATGTTTTCTGCATGAAATGCAATAGCTCACTTAGCCTCACCTGTATAAAAGCACTGTTACGTGAATCTATTCATTATCTGTTACCATGGCGCCTGTTGGCTGGTGGTTAAAGCTTTTGACAGCCTTTTCATAAGAAATTGGATTGTTTTACAGAGGCAGCATTTGTACTTTGGAGACCTACATACTGCATATGAACATATGGAAGCATTTTCATAGTGTTGCCCCCTGGCATTAGCCTTCTCACACAAAAGGACAAAAATAAAGTGCCAATATCGATACCAATATCATATCGCTGCATCATAGTAGATGGATTGGTTTAATGATGCCATACTGTAGAAAATTCCAAGCAAATCCATGTAGACAATCCAAGTAGACACGGAAATGGAAGGTCCCCCATCAGAAAAGTTACAGACTAGAGTAAAAGTTAATTCACTTTCTCTGCCCTGATAGAAATATCTAGCATTTTGTGCAAGATTTAGGTTTCCCTGTTGGACATCTAAAGGACAAAACTAAAGGGTTGGTGCCAGATAGTAAGGTCCAGAGGGACTGTCTGCTGTGATTGGTAATTTAACTGATGAAGTTTAGAAACAGAATTATAATTTAGGTTAAATTAATGTTAGGGAAATGTTTTGATTTATTTACTGGCATAGAAGTGACCTTAAAAATGTATTCATTACCTACAATTCTTATCTCATCTTACACCATAAAATAAAACATTCAACAGTTTGGGTCTTCAAACTTCAACAGAAATTTACACATTACCACAGCAACCACAACTACGTCATCATCATTATAGACCAAACGATCCAACACTAACCGAAACAAAGACATGGAGACCAAACTGTGCATCTTCTACCTCATGGAGTACATGCAACTGAGTCACAAAACCCTAAATTTTATACATTTCTTACAAACAGTTCTTTCTTGATCTAATTCAAAGGGGGACACTGCTTTATGAGGTATGCAGCAAAAGTTTTAGCAACACCTATTCATCATATGAGTTAGGCCTATATCAATCCTGTCCTGTGGCCACTATAAACATACAAACTGAACCAGTATACAGCTATGTCATAATACCACACAGAAGAAACTCTATCTCCTATAGAGGAAATGAGCCAAATGATCTTTTTCAGCGGTCTAATGAAACTGTGTCCATTATCATTTACAGAAGTGTAATGTGAAAGAATCAGTGGTTACATATAACTGCAGTGTACATAGTTAGCATTTGACCCATTCAGTGGCTGATGGCAATGAGGAGACTGTAAATTCATCTATAGATCTTGAAAGGATTTTGATTGAATGTACATGTCTGAAGGATTAACCAACATGACGTCCTTTAAATTGTGTTAAGAGGAAATATTATAGACTTGAGCCAAAGTACTAATACAGTGTAGCTTACTGGTCCGCCATGGGGTTAAAGGGGCACAGACTTTTCAAGTAGGAAGTCCTGGATGTCTCCATGGAAGTGTTACTGCTTTGCTTTGAATGTTCCTCATTATAGTGTTAAAAATATGTATCTCTATGGAGACAAGCAGTTGACACTATCAGGGCAATATTATGTATTTCTTTTAAACACAAACATGCGTATAGTAAAAAATGATCCACATGCATATGTATATCCATTTTAAGTCATTTCAGAACATCTTTGTAAAAATACAACTTTAATATTATGAGATGTTTTGGACCAACATTGGCCAGTAAACTGTCTTTTTACATCAGTTTATAGACCGAAATGGGATATTGACAGAACTCATAACTTAGAACCGGTATCCAATCCACCTCAATTTTCAATAAATGTGTCTATATTGATACCAATATTATATCGGTGCATCTCTAGATAAATGGACTGGTTTAATGATGTCATTCTGTAGAAAATGCCAAACAAATCCATGCAGACAATCCATGGAGACATGTAAATGGCAGGTCCCCCACCAGAAAAGTTACATACATAAGTGAATTTACTTCCTCTGCACTATATACTTTATGGTGTGACCACAGCTAATCACACTAGTGTGCAGTGATTTGTATTTTGTACATAGATTTATTGAGTGATCCAAGCATGGGGTTACCCCAGGCTGTCTATAGGTGTTTGACCTCTTGTAAGTGAAAGTAAGAGTAAAGGATTTGTGTGTAATTGTGCTTATGAGTGTTGGGTAAAAGCAATACTTTAGGATGCTTTTAAGCTCTTCTGCGTCCAGTTATTTATTAATAACTATGGTTAATAAGGTATAAAAGCGCTAAGGACAATAAGATTATAGATAAGAAGGCAAATTAAGTCAAGGACAAATCGTGTTTTGTTTTTGGTAATTTCAGAAAAATCCTGTGGATGAACACGTGTGTGCAAACAAGTATCTCCGCTCTGGCCTGTGTAGTCTGGATGTTGTTAATTAAAGCTGGCACTTAGCCTACTATTTCTCTGGGAATGTCAGATCGGCTTGCTGCGCTGACAAATAATCGTTAGCACTGGTTTCATCAAAAGACACAACATCTAAGGCCAAGTTGTGCATGTAATCATCTGCATACATCAAAACCTCTGCTCTGCACATGGGCTGTATAAAAGAAGAGAAGTGTTAATACTCTTCAAAATGTAAACAATACTGTATTTAAAGCTTATACATAAAGTGGATGTTGAAAGATGGACTAATCGATATGTTTTCTCTGGAAGTGACATGCCTGGATAGGATTAGAAAGAGTGCTATATAATACCGGGACTTATGGATGTTTGGGGAGTAGTTTAAATTAAAGAGGTCAGATTGAGAGAGTTTGGTAGACTAGAGTATGGACGGTAAGTTAGTCACTATAGATGCCGAAAAGACTGAAGACGAGTTGGAGGAAGTGGGAGTGGACATGAAGTTAGTTGGAGTGAGAGAGAAGAATAGGCTGTTGGAGCTCACATTAAATCTCTAACTCATATTACAAATTCTTTGTTGAATGATATTGCATTTTGAATTGTAGCCTATTTTTATGCTTCTTGCTGCAATCTTCCAATGTTCTGAATCTGAACTGTTGCATGGTAGCCTCTCGTTTCTATGGAGATGACAAGAGGGACAAAGTTTTATCATGACAATATTGTGGCCATATTAAAAATGAAGCCTACGCAGCCACTCCAGGAGTGATGAGGGGCTTAATTAACTTGACCAAACTGACACAAGGGACACATGGGTGTGTTCCTGCTCACATGCAGGGCATCACTGTCTATCACAATCTCCACCAACGCAAAAACCTCTTTTCACTTTAACTGTCTTGAAGAACTTGCCTACTTAAACTGATGCACTGATGTGCTTCTATGTTTATATCCTTCTTACAAAATAGAGGTATATATTGATTTGTATTTTTGTGGAAGTTAAATGTAAATTTTGGCCAATTCAAGATGTAAAATTATTAATTAATTACGATAGGAAATGGTGTGGCTTTAATGTACCTGCTCTTGACAACAAATGGACTAACAGAAAATGTCAATATAGTTCAACAGTCTCAACTGAAGTGGTGCCATAAGGACTCCATGTGACTCAATAAGGTGCAGTGTTGTACAGAATTGTAGGCTACTGCTGTGATTGCTAATGATCTTAATTAGCGAAACAAAAGAAATCTGGTTGTAGTTTTGGGAAATGTTGCGGTGGAGACACTTACTGGCCCATTACCACTTTCATTTGTGTCACTTCTTAATCCTCTTTTTGCAGCCTATAAAAGCAGCGTTTAAACACCCACTGGAGCTCATTAAACGTGCCCGGTACACAGTAGACTCGCGTCATTTAGAGCATCTTGAACACATTTACTGACATTTCCAGGCAGCTGATGTGATTCCTCCATGACTCCCCTTCTTTCTTTTGTAGAGCCCCACTCGGCAGCATCAGGATCCCACTGTCACTACACACGTTTACGCACAAGCAGCAAGACAATTGGCAATCTATAGGCACAAAGATGCCAAACACGGCGCGAGATCAGTATAGTCAATGTGTGAATAGTCTCTGTACCTGTTTTGTAGAAGGCATCAGTGTCTGGGTCGCTGCTGGGCGCCTCCTCGGCCGCTTCTGCAGGGTTCATTCCGCTTCTAATACAATCCACCGACAAAGAAAGATAGAAATAACGCGCCGGTTACTCGCTCCTGTCCGTATCCCTTACATGTTTCACTCGTCTGGGTTTGTCTGCCAGCCCTCCTCCGCTCCCCCGGGCTGCTAACACGCGCTCTTTCAGTCGCCCTCTTCGGTTTGTTTAGTGTTTCGGGGCTGGCTTGGTTCCTCTCTATTGTTCCCCGGTCCAAGCTTTCTCTCTCCGCCGCTGTCCGCCAGGGTCTCTGCCTGCTCCCCCTCCTTCTCCCCCGCGCACCGTCCCTCCCCGCTCCTGCCTCTCCTCCCTCTGCCTCTCCCTCGCCTTCACTTCAATTCTCTTGGCTTTACTGGCAGCATGCAAAGCCCTTATAAAGCTAAGGTATGGCCTTGACTGCAAAATATCCAACTTCACAGTAGCTGTAGACCTATATTGGGCAAACAGGCAATAGGCGGAGCTGTGAACTGAAAACAATTCTGAGCAATGTGTCAAATCCCTATAGGTCTCGTGCGGTACTGCAACAATAAAGACATTTTAGGCTATATTAGAATAGGCTATTGCTTTAATATTTGCAACGCTGTTTGAAAATGCAAGCATGTTCATTTATTTAAAAAAAAATCATCTCGTGGTTTAAATAATTGAGTTTATTATGTGGGCTATGTGCTACCTCTACTGCTTTAACCAATTCTCATTTTTAGGGTAGTTTAGTTAAAAATTCACAGTACATAGTCTATTTAGGACTATTAAAAACCGCAAAGGCCAAGAAACTCCCACACATTGTTTATCATTAAAGAGAAGAGTCATTTCTCAAACCTGTCCCCTTACTCACTTTAAAATATATCTGTGTTATTCTACATCCAAATAATTGAACACTATTTACCATCATAAAGCTTAGTTTATCCTAGCTGCTGATCTGTCAGATGCCTTGTTGGGCGGCTGTCTAGTGTCTACACAATGACATCATCACTTTACACCGATGTGAATGGCTCCATCCTTGAGAATGGCCTTGAATATTATAGAGACTATTATAGACACTATAATAGGCCCACACTGGTTAGCCTTGTCATCTGAGTGAGAAGGACGCACCTTCATATGACACTAATTGCCACACGCGCGCCCAGGGACAAGCAGACGTAGGTTGATCGGACAAGATAAGGTCTCTACGTGTGTCCTTTTTTATGTTGTATGCTACTGCCACCTACTGGACTACATGTTCAAAGACACTTGCGTACTGGAAATACAATTATAATGCATTCATGTTAAGTTCGTTTAAAGCCACATTTGGACGTAAAAAAACAAACAAACAAACAAACAAAGGTTAAAAGTTTAAAATACATTATTTTTTATCCTCAATAATAACATATTAGACATATATAATATAATAAATACAAATCAAATAAAGGGAAACATAAGCATTCATAAATCAACATGCCATAACAGTGAAACTATGGAAATGTAGAACAAGGATGCTTTCTACAGACACTAGTAGGGTCATCTTACCGACTGCAAAACTGCCTTAATTGGGTGTACTGACTTATCTAAACAGCAGGGGGAGTTCAAGGTCTGTTTCTAAGGTAGAGTCTAAGCGCAACCTTTTGAGCTCGCTCTAGCGCTATCTATGAAACTCGAGGCATTTTGTGTAGAAGTCAGATATTGATTTTAACCAGTATAAATGTAGCATAATATTTACTGCAAGAATCACAGGCACAGAGGAAGCATCAAGTTCAGTCTCATTTGCACATGTGTAAAATAAGATAAGCCTACTTTAAACTGTACACATTATTGAACGTTTTTTATAAATAACCATACGATATATTGTCTGGAAAATTCCCCAGTATGACATTAAATATATCTAAGTTGATTGAGACAGGTGAAATCATTCAACTGATTCAATGGAAGATAAGTTTAATGACATAGGAACATACCAGACAAAGATAACATGTGGCAGACCTTCCATCAAAAGTTAAGTAATGCACCTTTAACTGTGATGGGAAGTTATTGACTGTGAATAGTGGCATTTGTAACAGGTACAATAAAAGTTCATTAAAAAATAAATAAAATCATCAGCATTGGCGACTGAGGCTAGTATAGATATCCACTCACTCATAGTAGTTGTTAGAAATGTCATTGTACTGAGCTGCCGTTGGGCACAGTAACAGAAGTGTGGCTGCCACCTCCAAGCTCTGCAAATTTTAACACAGAAATATCAGGAGGCACAGTTAAATGTCTAGACAAAAGACACAAGAGTTAATACTTTACTTTGACCATTCTAGCTTTATATAGGCTCAGTTGATGTATTCATACTGTGTATTCAGTGAAATGTATTTTAAAAATGTACTTTTTGACCTTGTTTCTTTCTGTGGTTAAGGGTAGAATATATGGGGAAAACATAAAGTCTATAATTGTCCATTGTTTATTCAAAAACTGTATGTCATTGAGTGTAGGGCTGACTCAGCTTGACAACTCCGCTCTCCACATTACATCTGTAACTGTGTCCCTCAGGCTCTCAGGCCAGCCTTCATTTGCCTTGTAAAAATACAATAAGAACAAACATATGTCTCTGTAAATAGGCTTGCCTTTGGGGTTTTCAAATTAAGTTCTTTTCCGATTTCATGTTTCTGAACTAAATCCTTTTGTTCTGAAGCCAAAACCAATGTTATATTTTTTGTTATTGCAACTGCATATATAGAAGTATAAGTTTACATTGTGGTAGTGTAACTTGTCTAATGCTTATATTATTGCCTCATCTTAAACTTTAATCACCTGGAATTATAATGCTCTATTGCTGCCATAGAGAAATTGGCTTAATGCATTTGACCTGCCTTTCACTGTGATAGGAAATTATTCTCCAGATCTAACGATTTGTGCATGAAGATAAAGTTTTATATTCATAACTCACAGTAACACATAGAAATTAATGTGGTAATGTTTATTATTGTTGTTAAAATGCTACACATAGCACCTTGTACTCATGGGCCCATACAAGGAGACATTAACACACTGGGTCCCCTGCTGCAGATGACCCAAGTGAATACAAAAACTGTACCAGGGGATGGAGTGGTTAGTCATATGCTTTAAACATGTGAGAAAATAAATCATTTGAAACAAGAAGTCATCTACAGATTGTCCTGTTAGTTCAACATACTGTGGCTACAAAAGGTCAACAATTTCCCAACGTAGATGTCTCTGTAATATGGCACCATTTCCAGGCTGTCAATGTCCAGTGTTTGTGATAATGTACTATTTACAATTTAAAAAAAGAAGAAAAACTCAACAAAGGAGCTTGATGTGTTTCAAAATAGTGCTCAAAACAAGTGACTCAACTTAAAACTATGTACAAGCTTGTCAAAGCTGGTTTACAAATCTTTTCACATTGTTAATAAGTCACATTAATTATATTAAATATAGCAAGAAATGTTTGCTCATAAATGGAAAGAAATAAGTCAATTTGATGAACACGTAACAACGTGTGTCACACATTTCAACATAGAACAGAACTATATTTATACCAATAGTAATGACATTTATGTGGAAATCTCTTTGAGCATGTTTCATCTTGAATAATGCCATTTCATATGTACAAGAAACATTCAGAAGTGCGTCCATCCAGAGATCTCTCCTCAGTACTCGCATTTGGTATTTCACTGTGAACGTAAGCAACTGCTTCTGTGCAGATTGGAAATGCTTTACTGTAAACACTTTGCTTTGTGTCATTGAATAAAAGGATGGCTTTGATGAAGAAGTCTGACATTAAGCATCATAGATGAATATTCTCTTTATGAGTCAAAGGAAAACTTGTCACATAAATCCAGATTGTATTATTTATAAATGCATTACAGTTTGTGCTATTTAAGCACTGCAAACACACCGTATTATGGTCTGTGAGATTTGATTAGTCCAAATTCAAATCTGAAGTTATTGTTTAAATGTTTGTCTACATTATTGGTTTGGTTAAGTTTATGGGTCTAATTAGTCCAATGACTCAAGCAGGACTCCTGAAGCAGTTACAGTGTATGTTATCTCATAAATTTTCGAAACTCAAATGTAAATATAATAGCACATACACACACACACACACACACACACACACACACGCATACACGCACAGACACACACACAGATTCTCTAAACAGGGAGGTGCAACCATTGCTTGTGTCCTAGCACAGCATTTTCCTTTTTGAACTATTTACCTTAAACACATCAAGCTTTAAACCATCCAGACAAGCTGTAGGACATCAATAAATACAGAAAATTAGATAATCTAGTCCAGTCAAAAAAGAAAAAAAAAACTTTAAACAGTGGCTGAATGACAGCTCACAGAATCCAGTAGTCAGAGCATCCATATTAGCAAAAATAAAAACTATTCAAGTGGGAGAAGACAACATGTTAACTATCACAGAGAAGTGGTTGTGCTGATCAACCTGTAGCTTCAGCGTCTAATGTCGTCCACCCAAGACCTGAAACTACAGGTGAGCTTTGAGTGGTGCATGAAATAAAGTGCAGGATACTTCTAGCCATAATACTTTCTTCAGACATTTATGACATAATCTCACTGTTGACGAGAAAACCCTTGAACAAAGAAACCACTAAATGCCAGGAGGTTACATTCTTACTAAAGAGACAGCCATCTGGTGTCTGGCTGATTGCTGCAACCTAGTCGGAAATGTTCTATTACATTTTATATATATTTTTGTATCTGAATTCAATCTTTAATTTACACATTTGTTATGTTTTGCATTATTTGTCACTCTGATAGTGTATAATCTTATTCATTCATGTAAAATTAGTCACATACCAAACTAATACTGTACAACTTTACTTCACTTTGTATCTTAAATAGATGTTGAATCTGTGCATGTGGAAGATTGATCACCTCCTAGGACTCGAAATAAATGCAACTGAGTAATGACTGCATCATTGTAAACAAAAAAATCGATAATACAATATTATCGACATTACAATAATATGATTTAACAACACATTTATAATCCTGTCTTGACATCACAAAGAGAGACAAATGTAAGACAGAAAAATATCCAGGCCTATGGCAGTTCAGTTTGTAGTGATTGTAGATAAGGCTGGTCCAGTCTGCTGTGATTCTGGCCTCAAACAGTGTCCTGCTGCTGGGTCAGAGGTCAGAGGTAGAAGCCCGTGGCAGGGGGGTCAGGGAGGCTGGATAGAGGGTCTGGACCAGGTAACTGAACAGCAGGGGGCACTACTGAGTTACCATTAGGCAGAGCACAGCCTGCTGGGTATGTACTGTCCAGGATGCAGCCATTCTCCATCTGCATAAGGCACAAAGTAATAGCTTATTTTATTGCACCAAATACATTAAATTGTCTTTTGAGATGATTGAAAGAGCCTCAAAATATTGTGCATATCCATTTGTAAGAATAATCTCAAGAGTCCATTGCATGGACTTTAATCTACAGTGATTCAATTCTCCAGACATCTCTCTAGCTACATCCAGGTGTCATTGGCTTATCAGAAAGATTTTTACAAAATCCCCCCCCCCCCCCCCCCCCCCCCCCCCCCCCCACTAAATCATAGGCATCTAACATGTCTGCTCACAAATAAAGTTTTTTTTTTTTTCATAGGACATCCAGAAGTGAAATTAAAGGTACAAAAAAATCAATTAACAAAAAAAAGTGCAACCATGTTGTGTAACAGTTCCTTGAAGAATAAAAAAAACATAGTTTGTTATTAATAATTCAGTAATTGAGTGACTTAAATGAAAACTGTTAATCTGGCAACATACCATTATTGTTAATTACATATTTATGAACACTTAATGGGAATGTCATATATTCAAGTAACATCTACATAATAAACCTCTTGCTGCCAGCAGATGTCCTTACCTTACTGTGGTTGGCCTCATGTGGGCTGTCAGAGGCCGTTACCATGGCGTAGTGCTCCAGCTGCCTACAGGGCTTGGAAACGCCCAGGATCTGCTCCAGAGAGGCGTTGGGGGGAGGGCACTGGGACAGACTGGAGATGACCTGAGCTAACGGCACTGGTATGGCCTCCTGCGGCAGTTTGTGGTTCACTCCTTGAAAAGATGAGACCGCACACTCCGAGACATGCTGCTGGCCTCCAAACAAACTCTCTCCATTCATAGTGTAATCCCCATTAGCCATATGAGGCATGCTAAAATCCATGTCTAGTGGGGTGTCTGCTATGTGTTTTTGGCTGTTATCGATGCAGACATTGTTGGCCAGACCCCCACTGAAACCATAGTCCTGCCATAAAGATTTAGCATCATCAGTCCTGGGGACAGCACACAGTCCATTGAGGTTGCTGGCATTCTTTTTAGCATGGCACTGTTGTGATGGCTGGTTATGCATCCTCACTGGTTGCTGGACATATGAATGAGTTTGCGGAGTCTCTTCATTCATATGTGCTGTGTTGTTCTTAAAAAATCCTTTATAAGGATCGATGCCGGCATTTACTAAAACATCCTGTGGTGACCAGTGTCCATTGGGGACAGTGTGATTTGATTCATGCAGTTCACCGTTAACTAATGTGTCAGCCAAATGGTTGCTATGCTGTCCCCAGTCACTGTTCACTTTACCTGACCGCATTGTCAGATGTTGTTGCATCTGTTGTGAAAGTTGGATAATAGGGCCCTGACCAACTACACTGGGCCTATGGAAATCCATTTGCAAATGATTGTCTGTGACAGAGTTAGTTTGATTGGTGGAGGGGTGAGCAGGAGGCACCTGTCCCCCTTGCTCTGTGGAATCATTCCTTCCCTCTAGAGTGTTGTAAATATATGACAGGATTTCGTCATTTGTGAGCAAGTCATCCAATGTGGGTATATGCTCGGGGTCCATCTCCACTCGGATCATACGTTCATCAAGCAAAAGCAGCTCCAAGTCTTCAGCGCTGAGACCCAAGCCTTCAAGAGCTCCAAAGAGTTCTCCATTTGAACAAGTGCCATCTTCAGGATCCACTATTCCTTGTCCCTCTAGCACCAAGGAGTCTAGAGTAGCAAGGAGTGGGTCAAGACTTGTGCTAGCTTCAGAGACACTTGGCACCACTGCGCTGTTAGGATCATCCCAACTTCTGTGTGGTTTGGACTCAGAAAATCCTAGCTGGTCTCCAAAGATACTCTGGAAGGATAACTTGGGTTCGACAGCAGGCTGGCACACATAAACAGACTGGTCCTGACTCATGAGGGCTCCTAAAAGAGACCCAGGGACCAGACCGTCTTTAACCATTCTGTCAGAACGGCTCTTCTTGGTTTTGCTGCCATTTTTCTCCATGGGTTCGTCCAGAAAGCCCAGTGGGTGATTAGACTGGTAAAGTAGAGCTTCACCTGTAGCATAGGTGAAAGGGAGATGCATAGAACGTTTCCTCAAGTGTTCGCCGCCTTCTTCATCCCTGAAAGATATGAAAAAAACATTCTTAAAACACATGCTATATCATGTGGTTATCATCTTTTGATCCATGCATTTGCCTATCCCCTACCTAGCCACATTCACAGCTCTGTACTCTCTGCACTCTTACTTGCGAGTCTTTGAAAAACTCCAGGTTATATACTAAAGTAAAAAAAAAGTTACTTACACATTCAACAATAAAAAAAAAAAATCTGAAAAAACCTAAGAAAAAAATGCTCTAAGTATGTGTCTTTTCTACATAAAAAAATATATATTTTTAAAGTAATCTGGAAGTACACTAATGTCCTGCTCAACAATGCTTAGTGGAGCTAAAATGTCTAAGGTTGTCCCAGCGTCAGTGAAGAATGGGCAAAATGCAGGGGACATATTTCCCAGTGAGGACAATAAAGTATACCTTAATCTAAAAAGTAGTTTATTACAAAGGGGAAAATAGATACATACAGCAGAGGCCTTTGAGTGGCGATGATGTAGTCTGGTTTGCCATTCTTGTAGACCAGTCTGGCATTGGCCTGGACCCACTTCCACCGGTTCTCCTTGGTCAGGAGTCTGAACACAGTGAGGCCACTCTCCCCAGTCTTTATCACTACAAATAAAAAGCACATATTAAATACATGGTATACATGGATATATCCATGATCAATCAGTTTCAACAAAGCCAATTTTTTTTTCTTATTCTCCACTATTTAAATGTTATTTATTATATTTTACATTGTTGAATTGTAGCTGCTCTACAGTAGCCATGAGGATAAATCTCATATTAAAGGTTGTATGGAGGATTTTTTTTGTTTCAAATTGTCAATGATAGCATTATAGAGATGCAGTAGCCTTGTAATTATGATGACCAAAAAAAAGAGAATAAAAATTAATCAACTCTGGACGTGGTGGGGCCAGCTAAACATTTGCCAATAGATAACGACACTGCCTCGTTATCTGTTAGCTGACAGGCTGTCAATCAATCTCCCTACATTTCTAGCGTAACTGACTTGCCTGCGTGCCGCAGGTACGTGGCTTACGTACGCCTGTCACGCAGTCCACAGACGCAAGCCGCACAGACGCTGTTTACTCCACCAACACAACAGTTCTTAGCGGCTTTTTTTTACCTACATCTTCCTCGCAGTTAGCACAAAGTTTGTTGCAATGGCAGACAAGAATCCAGGAGCGGTTAGCCGCAAAAGAAAGTCCGTTTTTGAGGTCGCTGAAAGAAGAAGACAAGGGGAAAAGCAGCGAAGCCAAACTAAGGTGATTCTTGAAGATTCATTCCAGCGATGGCGCGACTGAAGCAGACGCAGGGTCTAAAGACTGACGCATTGGTCGCCAAATTACTCCTGGACAGGTCACTTCTGCTTATTATGAAAACGTACTTTATTTCCAAGAGCTAGTCAAACATTTTTCAGGACACGAAAGCGATATCCTATGTCTGAAAACGTAATTTTCAATGCAAAGAAAGAGTCCGCTTGCTGCTGCGTGTTGTAGCTAGTTCATTCGCACTGAATCTCCGTGCACCCTTCTCTGCACCCCTTTCCTGCTCCTCTCCCTGCTGCCCGATCTGCTCTTCCCCCTGCTCCTCACTTCTCCGGGCACGGAATCTCCGCGCACCGCTCCCCTCTCCTCTCTCCTCTCCTCTCTCCCTGCGCCGCTCTTCTCCCTGCTCCTCACTTCTCGTCCGCGCACGAAATGTCCGCGCACCCGCTCCCCCCGCTCCTCACTTCTCCGCCTTGCCTAACCAACACTGTAGTTAGTTGTTTACAAGTCATGTGCAGCGCACCGGCTGTAAACAAACCTGTTTCTGGCGTAGTGAGGAGGCGGGAGGAGGCGTTTCTACGTAGGGAGCTGTAGGGGAGGGGGGGTGGTTTCACGCATGCGCAACATTTGAAAAAGGACAAACAGTCGCTGGATTTCTCGTTCCTTGGAAAATCCTCTATACAACCTTTAAGGAGTGTGTTTCTTGGTGATTATTTATGGATCATCTGTGATTCTTTGTTTATATGTTGGATTTATGGGAGCGATCTTTTTCTATGGGAGCTCTGCAGCTTTGCTCAATCTGCTTCGTAATCCAAAGGGATTACTTGGGAAAGCTGTCTGAACTCTCTGACCACTGGGCTTCCTAAACTTTTGCAACCTTTCACAATAGGTCAGCTTTTTGGGTAAATAGGCATCTAAAATACAGGAAAATATTATGTTGGTCAAGGATTATACAATTTAATTTCAAACAGATATTAGTTCAAAGTGAATGTGAGTTTCTTCATTCTTCATAAGCATTTACAAGAATATATAAGAGCTCATCTGAAGTTGTGTGTTATATGGTAACTGTAAAACAGTTTAGCCTACTTCTGCAGACAATGACACTCACTTCTAACATGGTTCTCTGCACAGTGCAGCATATCAGCGGCGTGAATGAACTGGTAGCCAGATCCTCGCACCCTCAGCTCTGCCTCTGTGTATCCTAGGACTATCTTTCCCCTGTAGACAATAACATGGTCAGACACTGCATAAAAAAGACTGGTGTAAACAAAAGGAAAATACACTGTTTACACCAGTGTGCCCTTACTTTGCATCACAGGCCATAGGGGTGAAGTCCAGCTTGTGTTTGGTTCTGAAGATCATGTTCTTGGTTCTGATCTCCAGGATGGAGGGAGGCTGCAGGGGAGTTGCGATTGCAAACAGAGCCATCTGCATAGGAGGGTTAGCTCCATTTTCTTCTCTGTGACTTTGTCCTTGAAGAAACTTCAGTCTGCCCTGTAGGTTCAGAGCCTGTGGCAAAAATAGCAGCAAAACATTCTGTTGTTAAAAAATGACATTTCAGTCTGCTTTAGTACAATTAATCAATCCAAACATTATGATCACTACTGAGAACAGATTATTCTGTCATCATGACAACTGTTGGTCAATGCAACTCATGACAATCCACCTAATGTTCAAAAAAGGAATGGAATCGGTATAGAGTTATCTGTATAGGGCACCAATAGGGCACCTTATTGAGTAAGTAGCTGTACTGGATTAATGTTTGGAAACCAACCAGAAATCCAGAGGAGTTGTCCAGGAGGCAGCGGAAGCGGCACACAAAGCTCCTTTCTAAGAAGGATGAGTTTTCTGGAGGAAGGTGCTCAGGGTTATAGGTGACCAGAGATGAACTGCTCTCTGAATCTACATCTGTCAACAAAAACAACAAACATTCATTAATGACTCAACACATCTTAAGAGTTAATTACACTTATGTGTACTGTAGTAAAATGCATATTTTGGTACAAGCCATTTGCCCATCAAATTTAGAAAAATATGAACTGTAATAATGTTTAACACTTTTTACACATTTTATTTTATCATGACACCCAGAAAACATATTGGTTTACAAGAAATCCAGATTACATGGAGCATTATCCTCTAACATTCAGGTGTAGGTTTAAAATGAAGTTTTATTTAGAGCCCCACTAGTCCATTAAGGCTTGTCTTAGCTTCAGGTAATGTATATATTCCTCCTGCATGTTTCCATTAAATGAATCTACTCATAAGCAAAACAAAAGTCAGCAAGGAAAGTTGAGATTGGGTAATGTTATGTTGTGTTACATAATATGTTAATGTTTTGCAGGAGTCAAACAGATTGGCCTACAGTTAGAATAAATATGTGGTACACAGATTACATGCAAATAAACATTTTCTCTGTGTTTTAATTCATAAAACCTCATTTGATAGAGAACAGTGTTTCTGGTGTGTGTCTGGATAGTGTTCGGTGAATTGGAAAATACATCTCTTCAACTTTAGTTTCAACTGGAACTACCCTGTTTTGCACTGATCACAAAACCTTTAAGCCAAATGAGTTTCAAATTGTGCATAAACAACAGGAGGCTTGGTCTCTGGATGTACTATTGAACTGGGGGTATCTCATCAGCCACTCCACTAGGCTGAATAAGTACTTATGTAAGCCTTCAGATCACTCCCCTCTAAAATCTACAGGTGGCTTTGTAAGCGCACTACTAGCCCCTGTTCTGTGAGTAAGGTAAGCGACAGTTAGAGCAGCTGAGAACCAAAGCGTACAGCCATAAGCATCTTACAACCCAAATACAGATCAGGGACCACTTCACCTCATAAGCCACACTGGAGATTATGGGTCACGTGACCTGACCTGAGCATGGACTTACACTTTAATACCTCAAGTGGGGGCAGTTAGCTAGATCATATTTGCTACAATTTCTATATAAACACAGGACAACAAAAGAGGGAGTAACACTAAGGTGCATGTATGCTAAAATGTAGATTGACTGAAATAAAACCAATAATTATGTAAATTGATGTCACCATTTATACTGGTAAACATGTTTAAAATGAGAATGTTCCATGATGATGATATTTTCAAAATAGGGAAGTATTAAGTACTGACCACTGGGGGAGTCCTGGCTGCTGGAGGAGGAGGCTGGAGAAGGATTGAGAGCCCAGTGTAGGTTCCTGCGGAGTTCCTGCTGATCTTCTGTGTGGACCAACTCATAGACACTCTGGTGCATCACATCAGTCTGAGAAAGAGAAAATACATTTGACAGTGTATTTATTGTAACAAAACATAAAAGGCATACAAAAACGTAAATTCTAGTTATAGAAAAATGGTTGGCAAAATGTTTTAAAATGCACAAGATTTCTCTTCCAACACCTGTTTTAGTTTTAGCTTTAGTATGGCAGCTCTAGATTGTTTTTTTCACTAAAGGACAAACTATAAATAGCTTTATCTGCAGTGCTGTTGTTGTTGAGCCCCTGTCTTTGCATCATGCAGGGAGCAGACCTCTGGATCAACTCAGAGTCACTTCCTGCTCCCAAAGACGCACGCAACCTGCCCATAGTGACCTTTTACCAACCATGGAAACTATTAGCAACAAAGAATATTTTCATAATTGCATATTTTGTAGAGAGTTTATGGAATAACTCAGATCCGCTGCATCTATTTTATTTTAGAATAAAATAGATACAGTATGGTATATTTAAAATGTGTTTTGATATTTTCTGTTCCACTAGTGATGATGCATTCCCAGCATGTCCCTCAAACAGTTGGCCATTACCGCTGGCACCCAGCCAGGGGTAATGGTGTCCTTTTCTCACTATAATGCCATTGTGCTGTAGAGGATAATTAAAGTTACCTGGTGAAAGCCTAAGTAGTCCTGGATGGTGTGTGAGGAGTAGAAGATGGTCCCGCTGGCAGTGATCACCACAACAAAACCATTCAGAGCCTGGAAATTAGAAACAGGAGTACTTAGTAAAGAAATCAAATATTTTACCAAAAGCATGTGAGATATAATAATAGTTTGAATATGATTATAAAGCAATATGGATGTAGTGACAATGAAGCATAGTTAATACATATGTATGGATTCTGCATAGGTCATCAGCTATAGTGGGTTTTGTGAAGTAACGTGTACATTGCTTTATTTTATTTCTTTGTTTTTACATCAGTGTATGTCTTTGTACCAAAAATGCAATGCTGCTCATATGACCCATACATTTTTTTAGTTGTCATGAAGCTCTGAGAAAGTATTTCTATTGTTACTGCCTGTGCTTAAATACCCATGACTGGAGATTAATCCAGGTCAAAACCTAAAGTCAAATTATGTCTTCTGTACTTCATGGTACAATAGAGCTGCTACTATGTGTGCTCAGTCAAAGGAATTTTTCATTTCCATATGACATGTTAGAGCAGCCAATTATTTCAAGGAGATGTTTTCAACAGATACAATCTAGGATCCCCATAGATAATAATATAATATTTTAGACTTAAATTGAAATATTGATCAAAAACAAGGGTGCACAAACATTTTTAATTCAGGGATGCATATTGATACATCAAGCGGAAGTACCATGCTGCTGAACCATGCTCACGGCCACATATGGATAGCTTCAAATCAGTGTTTTTTTTTCTTCTTTTTTTTTTCTTTTTTTTTTTTTTATGCCAAAACGGCTACCCTATAATGCTGATGATGCGGTTTTAATAAAAAAAATAAATAAACAGGAGAAAACTGGAGCTTTTGGAGCAATGATGTCTTGACAGTAGGAGAAACAAGATCATTCAAACATGCATTATAAACACAACTTTGAGAGAGTACATGCAAAAACAATTATAACATGGTTGGTTAAAACTTTATATTTCACCTTTACCTTTATAATAATATATGTAAGGAGTGCTTTTCCCCATATTGTGTTGTTGTATGTAAGCCAATGATAGAAATCCTCTATTTATAATGGAAGTCAACTGTAAAAGTACAGCCCTTGTCAGCTGAAGTGTTTTTGTTCAGAGAGAAAGAGCTGGTGTGACATTTCCACCTTTGTGCATACATGGCTGTCCTCTTTGCTCCTGGATGATTTCATAAACAAACACATTCACATCATACACAACTGCCCACACATCCAAGAGCGCCATCACCTCCGCCCTCGACCACAGAGATGACTAACACTTAGACGCCATCTTTGTCACTTTGATAACACACCAGTAATTCACCACAATTATCAGTCAACACTCCAGAGTAAACAAAACAGCAGATGTCAAGTGTATGTAGAAACATGGATAAAATACTGTGAAGTGGCCATAATACTAGGCGATGTGAAAATATGTATATCTTCTATTTCTTTGAGGTAATATACAATATAATAAACAAGCCAATCCAACCAGACAGTGTGTACACTGCAATGTCAATTCATTAGTACTTTAGAGTTCACTATGTAACTACAAGTGGTGTCAGTGAGACAAGCAGAAAGAAAAGTTACATAATGTTTTAATATTGTGCTTAGGGTTAGGGCTTTAATATTACAACTTTTGTATCACCTTTTTTTTTTTAATGTTTGTTCAAATCAGCATCAGCCTTAAAACAAGTACGAAGTATAGAGCTGATTTCTATAGTCTCTACTTTCTTTCATATGACAAATCAACAGTTAACTGCATGTTGTTTTTGTAAATATTACTTCAAAAGGAGCCTTCATGTCACATTATTACAGTCTGAGAAATAGAGGCTTATCATAATAATGATACAATCTGGTTCAGGAGAAAGCAGGGGGCAGGCTGTTTCCTCTCTCCTGGAATGCCACAGTGATGCATATTGGGAGGAACTGGACTGGAAAATCAATGACGCCAACAGATCCCAAAAAGATGTGGCAGTCACAAAGCCTGTTCACCATTCAGTCCTCATTCAGAGAGTTGGAGCATTGGGAAAATGGCTTGGGATATTCCTAAAGTGGGTATTATATCTTGAAGGCATAGACAGAATCATATGTCCAAGTGTGGTGCCTATGTTCTAAAGCAATAATACTGTTATATTTTTACCACAAAGAAGGAAGGTTTGGAGGAATGTTTTATTAAAAGAATTTGACTTTGTAATAATTTCCCCAAATTTGGTGATCCTACAGTCAGCCCAAATTTAATTGCTATGCAATCTGCAACAAAAAGAGTTAATTTACACTGACAAATAATATACCAAGACTGTGTGGTGACACAGGGGAAGATAAATGAGCATATATTTACAATTTGAACAGTTAGATCATGGCAGAAAGAGTGTATTTAACATCTATTTTCATCTTTGGCTGATGACTGCACTACAGATATATTACACATTTAAGGTTTAGTAGTACTTGTTTTATTTCCTAAAAATAAGTCCAAATCACCAGATGGCTCTTTAGCTCACTTACAACCTTTTTTTTAATGCAAAAACCCTCAAGCTACATGTAGTGATGGGCACAATGGCAGACATACTGCATGATAAGCTTCTCTGATCCTTTCATTTGCCTAAATAGATTTTGGACTATTGACAAGAACAGGAACAGCATGAGTCCTGTCACAACAGTCAATCAGTAGCACCACTGTATCCCAAACATATTGAGTTCTGGATGTTTGTGTGTAAATGGACCATGTCAAATACAAAGCCACCTAAAAATCTGTACATAAAGAATTGCTTATTAGAAAATGTAATTATTCTGCCACATTCAGTCCATGAGTTCCATACAGGAAATGATCAGACAAGTGAAATATTTTCAGCGAAACATACACACTTAATAAAATGCTGTTAGGACAAAGATGTGCCAGTGACTACAGCTGCACACATACAGTAAAGTACAACTTTCATACTGACCTGCAGAAGTAGTTCCCCCTCAGAGATTCTGCTCTCTAGCGCCCCTGCTGGTTTGGCATCACCATCTTTCTGGACCAGGCTGTTGTGGTTGCTCATTGCCACTGTAAGGACGCAGACAGAGGGGTTAGTGAAGCAGTGGGGTAGAGGGGTCGTAGAGGGGCAGACCAGCTCCTGTGATAATGTTGGCAAAGCACTGCTGTGACTGTCAGATTTCCTCATGTTTAGTGTGCCAATGCCAAACCCCTTCACATTAAACATTCATAATGCACAGCTTGAAAGGTTGTTCCAAAAGCAAAAGGCCTGCTTTCTTGTACAAGTCTAGATCAACGCTGTATTATTATGGCATCATTTTGTAACAAAAATAGAATGTATTCAATTATTCCAGTATACTAACAATAGTGATAATTATTTACAAAAACAAATAGTAGATTACCGTGACATTCTTATAAAAATCTTCAAAAAATATTAATCCAAACAGAAATGTCTTAAATGTCTTAAAACATCTTAATTAGTCTTATTACTTTAGACAAGTATCAGGCAAATTTGAAAGGATCCCCAGAAGTTCAACAATATCTTTAGAATCAATCAAATCCTAAATTTTGCATATCTTCAAAACAATATTCATAGCATTATCAATATTTTTGAAATAATGTCCACCTCTAAAAAGCACATGAATTTGGTTATATCAACAGTAAATACAGGACAAATACAAAAATCATTCAGCATTCATGGAAATTATGGACTGTGCTTAGAGAGGTCGTGATCTAATTAATAAATGAAATACACACAGATAACAGTAAAACTAATGCTCCTAAAATATGATTTGTATGTATTTGAAGCACCAGATCTACAATATTAAAATATATATATGAACAGGTTATTGTATGTGATTATCTCTTAAGCCCAAATTCGAAAGGAAAAACAACACAATCTATAAAAACACAGCCATTAAAAGCTTTAGAGAAAGAGGAGACAATGTTTTGGTAATCCTCATTCAGGTTTGCAGACTTTTGGGTTAAGCTGTTTTAACCTCACACTGCTGTTTAAATCAACTGTTGAGTTCAAGGTCAGTTCAGAATCATTCACTGCCTCATTTCAATGTAAAGGGGATAAGAGCAATGAATTAACGACTGAACTAGTGACTTCGATAATTACTTTACAAAAACATGTTGTACTGTATTCACAAATAAACTAAAGCTAAAAAAAATCCACAACCAATTCAGTAACATATAGGCTTGACAGTAGTCTAGTAATATAACTGCATAGTGCAAGATTATGGTGTATAATGCTTAATAAAATTGGTAGATATAATATTTGGGATTTTATATTTGAATAGTTCTTTATAGTGCCTCTCCTATAGAGTAACATAGGTTCCTGCTCTACATTTGAGATTTTGACATGACAACAGATTCATAACCAATGATAGTATAAACTAATATTCTTTTATAATTAGAAACAATCAGGGTGATGCCATGAGAAAGAAAGCAGTGGTCAAGAGTATTACTCTCTGACCCCAGCAGGAGCATGGTGCAGCGACCCATGATGCCCTTTGACCCCTGAGGTGATATATGACATGATTGGGTGGTTAGATTCTGGGTCAGATGTTTTGTTGTCTGCTTAGGGGGTTAACAAGCCCTCCATCTGAAAGGCGGGGTGAGTTGCGTTAGCGGTGTTAGCACAGACACGGCCTGTAGCATATGGGCTTTGGATCTTCACACGAGAGGCGGATTTGGACGGGCACCTGTGACCCTGTTCCCATACAGAGCCCTGTGTTACATTTCACCAAAGACAAAGGATGGCATAATGGAGTGAATTGAATAACATGTGGATGGCATGGCACTCGTGAGATGGGGCAGGGGACAGAGTTTTCTCACAGATGTTCAATATCTAACTGAGCGTTAAAAAAATATCAATGAAATCAATCAATCAGTACTGTTTGTAACTGTCAATAACTGCTCATATGAAAAGTAATATCGTACAATATGCATACACAAGAGCACTGTGACAGCTGGTGCTTGTTCACATTGGACTGGGGTAGTTAAGTTAGCCCACGCTTAGTGAAGTAAAAATCCCTAAAAAGCATATTATGAAATATGTTTTGCCCTCAGTCATCTAGAGACAATGCAGTGGGGGCACACAACTACTAAGAAACATTTAGGCTAGAGCAGGGTTGTGAAATTAAGTAAATTCTTATCAAGAGTGAGATTCAGGGATTAAGAATCAATGATAACCCATTAGCCTGCATTGTTTCTTGAGAGGTCTACAGTCAAGATTTTGGCATCAAGAGTTTGCATTAATTTGCACTGTTAAAGTAAAATAATTTGAAAATGTGCAGCAGTGCAGCATGGGTATAGAAATGACTTGTAATATTACACTAGCAAAGCACTTACACTACACTCACTGCGCTCAAGTTAGGTCTGTGCACTTATTTTTGTGTCAACATTGGGTCTCCAGAGTTTTCCACAAAGGAAACACAGGAAAGAGGCACTTGGTTTAAATGGGAAAATATAATATACTTTACAATGTCAAACATCAGTTTAGAATGACAACTTCAGTGAGAAAAGACATGATGTGCAATAGTCAAAACTACTGGTCATAATGGTAAATCCTAATCAATCATGCTAACATACATGAACATTCACACAGACAGTGGCTACCCTTTCCTGCATGACTTGAGGAAAAACTAAAACTAAAACACAACTCTGCCATCTTTCCCACAATCAGGGAATAATTCAGCTCCATAAAATGCTTATATATATATATATATATATATATATATATATATATATATATATATATATATATATATATATAGACATCTGTCATGTAAGCCGATGCTTTAAAATATACGTGTGTATGAATGTATGTGAGTATGGAGGTGTAAGTTTGAGGTAAGAGTGGTATCTTTTGCAATAAAAAACAATACAGCACAGATAATGGGCTTGACACAAATGTGATCATTTACAATATTTTTCTTTTGCAGTAGCATTAAATTTACTGTGAATTCACAGTCATTTAATATTTTAAAAGCTCCAGAATAGAATATATGTGTTTCCGCACTGAGAGTTTCCACACCTGAGGTACAGTGTGTGGCGTCTGAGGCATTATCCATGTAGAAAGTGGGCCAACACAGAGCCTCGTGAATGGCCAGAAGAGGACAAAGAGCACATCTTGTTTTCAGGCTTCAGTGGAGCCGAGTGTACATAATGAAACATTTACATTCCCACAGCCATAGCATTCGTGTGCCATAATAGAGCTGCGGCAATCACCCAGAGGCATTTACAGACGTGAATAGAGCAGCCTGGCTAGCCCAAATACACTCACTGTTTATACAAGCAGCGTACAACATGCATGCTGGACTCTATGACAGGCTTGTCAAGGCTTTAAAGCACAATGCTGAAATTAATACTGTTATATTGGTTAGTCAGATCAAGGGGTCTTTGTTATACCCTCATGACTAATGGCAAACTACTGGAGTATAAGTAGGATTACAGTTACTTCACATAAATAACAAGAGAGAACACTATAATAGGGTGGACACTATAATAGGGTGGACATAATCTCTGATTTATGTTAGGGCATAACAACATGCAACTTTCTTAATAGAATATATCAGGATAAACATTGTTGTTAATACTGCACCCCTTGCCCCAAGGTATAACTAACAGAATAAACATCACATCAAAATACAACATTTTACTAAATATTTTGTACAAAATGTGTACTGTGGGGGATTAGAGTATGATACACTATTAAAAACAGCAGAAATATGTGATATTCTGGGAGTGGTGGAGCCTGTTCTTGGGCCCCTCACTCGACATTCTTACATATCTGCTGCTGGGTCTGACAGATCAGGACTGACAAACAAACAATGGCCTGAAAATATGACCATCTACAGTTCTCAGCTGACTTCTGAGGACTGCAATACAAGACCTATTCATTGCAAGGACCAACAGATGTACTACCATTTGAATAACACAAGTATTAAACTATGCTTCAAATAGTACTGGCCTGCTCATGAACACACTGGTCCTACTGGCAATCTGATGTTTTTGGTCTTTTCAGTGGATTGTCATTTCAAGTGAAGCTTAACAAAGTACCACTTAAGTTTAAAATACAGAAGGGCAATAGCCAGCAACCAGACCATACAAAATTATATTGCTCCATTTTGGGGCAGACCAATGAGACCTGGACTCAGAGCAATGGCCCAATTTGGCCTCTGTCCCAGACTTTGTCAGTTTAAAGGGTGACACCACACCATAGAGAGAGACACATACTGTTTGACAAGGTTTACTCATGGATAGAAAACACTCAATACTAAAACATAAAGCATAACTTCTGAAAGGGTTAAAATCTAGAGACAAATGCAAGATCACTGTTCAGCCCAACATCAGATCAACCCAACAGATCCACAACAGCAAATTAAACACAATACTAACAAAAAAGAACTCCTTTATAATCACACCATGGTGATTATTGCAAAATTATATTACAAATTATCTCATTTTTATGTTTTATTTTATCATTGAATATAAATATATGTCTCTCAGCTGGCCTGGGAACACCTTGGGGTTCCCCTGGAGGATCTGGAGGACGTGTCTGTGGTGAAGGAAGTCTGGGAGTCCCTGCTTAGACTGCTGCCCCTGTGACCCGGCCCCAGATAAGAGGAAGAAAATGGATGGATGGATGGATGAATATAAATTAGCAGCAATTTTTATGTTATTTTAAAGTCCTTAGAGTCCATTGGTAAAGGTCTTCAAACTATGTCCCTATATGGGCATGTATGGGTAACAAGGGAGTAGTTTGAATTATTATTTGTATCAGCTGTTCCTATTTCTATTGTGTCCATATTGATTTGAAGTACTGATCAAAACAGACAGCTAAAGAAAGTTGCTGTGAACTGTCACGAACAAATGCCAGTGCAGTGAGCAGTGCGGGCATGGATACACTGTGTGTGAATGTGTTTGTGTGTTAATTATTCCAGCTCTGTGTGAATGGCAGTGAGTAAATATAGAACATTTCAACTCCTTCACCCTGGACCACTGCTGTAAATGAACACGCGATGTGCACATACCACCCCCACATCCTCTAACATACACATGAATGCACGCAATGCACATGCAGCCGCACATACAGCCTAAGCAAGACAACTAATGCAGGACCTAGGCACGCACCCTGGCCGCTTTCGTGTCTCCGGAGGTTCCTGGGTCACATGGTGCATATTTGCTTATAAGGGTCGCTCCACAGTCAGGAGGAGCTGAATGGCTTTGGGCAGGGTGGGAAGAGGTCACTCCTGATTAGACCAGGTTTGGTGGCCCGCATTCCTGCCTGTGCCATATCGTGATCGGGGGGAGGGGGTTAAGCCCTGCCGGAGAGGCACTGAGCAGAGGGGGGCGCTGTGCTGTGACAGGAGGGAGGGGTCAAACATGGAGGGATGACCCGCTGATGATTATGTAGCCCAGATAGTTTCAATGCAGAGATGTGACCTACAGGAAGCAGGGGGAGGGGCAGAGTTGGTCCAGAACTTTAGTGACTATTCTGACGTTTCACCAGTCGTTTACAACTGATCTTATGTAACCGATCAGAGCAGAGCCACACTTATGATGTCGTCACTACATCTGCACTGTCCTTATCCAGCTGTTTATGTCACATCATACAAATGCATCTAATCAGTGACAGTCAGCAATTATCTCAAACATCACATGGATTACAAACAACATCAAATAATGATCATGTGTACATTTGTGTGCTACATTTCATTATGTCCTGTCAAAACACATCTGTAGGAGGAGGCTTTTACATATGATGTATACTTAAAGCCCAGTCCATAGGCAATGAATATCATGTAATAATGTGTGAACTCCTCTACCTTTAAAGATTATTTTAATGTCTTCTCAAAATCATTCCAAAACACTTACAAATTACATGACAGAAGTCAATTGAATTATATAAATTCTTTCCCATATAAGTCCCATGCAGTAAAGTTAAGTCTAGTAACTTCTTCGCGGTCCTAACAGTCCAAACTCAGTTTTGATAAGGAAAATCCACGATACCAATTTAGAATTTGTGTAGTGTAGTTATAGATAACTACACATTCTTTTTAGACACTCAAATGTAATTTTCTACATAAATAATAGTAGTTTAGTAGCATCTGCACCATTTATTTTCCATTCAGTACAATTCATATAATTTTGGTCCAGTAACAAAACTTGTTCAAATGAACATCAAGTTTCAGTATTAATTTTAGTATCGATTTGCATTTGGTTATCAGTTTTACAAAAGAATAATAGAGTACATATAATCTGTTACTTGTGTGTTTTTATCTTAAAGTTGTCTTAAGCATGACCTTGCTATAGTTTATAATCAGTGGATTAAACATAAACATAGTGACGATAAGTGTACAGAAGTCTCCATAAGACTTGACCATCTGATCACTGCCGTTATGCAACTGCAGTCATGTGACACGGGTTCAACTGTGTAAGCTTCACTCCAGTCACACCATAAACATGGAGGGGTCAGGACTCTGGCACTGGTCAGAGAATGGGATAGATGGAAAAAAGTATTTTTTTTTGGTTTTGTCAACCAAGATCAGGTGTCAAAAGCCCAAAAAATTATTTGTATTTGATAAATTGCATATAATATGGATTCAATCTTTTTTTTTTTTCAAAAACTTTTTTTTAAATCTAGGTTTGAACAATTTTGGAAATATCAAATTTTATGCATTGCAGATTGGTCTATATTTACCACTATGTTTTTAAAGTAAGATTCAAAGTACTAATTTTAAACTCAGTAAGATTTGAGATATTTAAGTATGAATTAATACAGGGATTACATGCAATTCAGAATGTTTTAAACACCACCACCACAACAACAACACATAAAACACAAACAACATAACAATTAGATATTTGTTATAGTTGTTTACAATTTTTTTCTGATCTGCTTATTCAAATGAAACCATTCAAATTTTCAATGTCAGTTTTATTGCAATTAATCCTACAAAATAATATTTTCTTCAGATGCATTTGCTTTGCATTTAGATTTGAAGTAAAGCTCTAATATGCACACACCAACAAGAAAAGGAACAGGTATATTAAAAAGTCCTGTCATACCTTCTTCACATCAAGATTTTAAAAGAAGTGTAAAATGAAAGTCCCCTGCTGGCACCACTCTCAAACCATTCACTGGGTTTACACTGGTAAACCTCCCATTAGTCAAACGCTACATTTAACTACTGCTAAAGGCCCCCAGCAGAGCCACAGATCTATACAACACTTGACATTGTGCTGGTCCCACATGCAGCGTGAGTTCTGGAGGCAGACAGCAGCTGTGAAGAAACCTGTCAGTTTGGAGAGCTCCACCCGCCTCACACCCAAAGTGGGGTGATCTCGTGTGATAGCTTTTAGAGATGTCCCTCTCCTCAGATCTGCTGACTCCATTGTAACTCCTGACAAGCAACATGGCAGCTGGGCGCAATAATACTGTCAGGCAGATTAACCAGGCTTTGTCCAAAACCCACTACATATTTGTATACACTCACAGAAATTCACTTGAACTGTTTTAGTGTGAAGGATGTGCTTATAAAAGGCACAAGCACAAACAAAGTGAATTATTGATGAGGATGGGCCTCTGTGCTGTACTGAACATCCAAACAGAGCAGAGACCATGCTGTCGTGTGGAAACAAAGGCGTTTCCCGAGCGCATCACTGCAGACCACCCACCAGCCTCCATCAGCTGACTCCAACAAGCCGGATTTGCTCTGTTTACACACAACAAATTATGGTCCCAGAAGCGGCCTGCAGCTATGGGCCTGAGGCTCAGGGCTTTCCCTGCAGATCTGCTCCTTAATGTAAGAGCCATGAGCTTGTTAATTACTTAGAGACTGTCCAGGAAGTAGGTTAATACAGTTAGACAAAAGGTCTTACCCACTGGCTACTCTGTGACCTATTGGTGTAAAATTTGCTATTAATAATTCACTCTGATGGCTTGAACATCCACCTCCATATTCTGAAATGATAAACTAAGTAACTAACTAAATACTGAGAGTAACAACTTCCATATGGCTTTGGTCAACCAAGAATAAATAAGAAATGCACAGTGGCCATCCAAACATATCACCAAGCTGATCCTGCTCGTCTCACCTCAAACAGTCGTTTGAAAGATCTACTGTCTTAAACAAACATTGCTCTACCCCAGTTTCATAAATTCTTTAAACTCGGGGCTACTCTCAATAATTGATGCTTCAGAAGCATCCATCGGCCGCAATGCAGTATTCTCTTAGAAAGATCTGAGCCTAAAATAACAATGTCTTCACTCTGCATAGTGGAGGAGAATGTACACATCTATCCGGTGGCATGCAACTGTTGGAGGTACTCTTTTAATGGACACCATGAGGATGCCTTAAAAAATACCGTCTTCAGATACACACACACACACACAGATGTGGTGGCTGATGAATTATTGACGGACTTCACCGCTGGAGGAAATTGTTTGAATAAGGCTCTGGCTGGCTGCTCTTCTCTCAGTGTGGTGGTCTACACATGAGTGCAGGCTGCAGGAGATGCCAACAAACATAAGCAGCACAAACTCAGAGCAAACTGCAAGTCTGTTGTGACAAGCTCAAGGAGGTGGAAAGCAACTGGCGATGCATTTATTCTTAAAGGCAAAGCAGTGACTTCTTCTGTTTCTGACACAGCTCCCTCTGTCATCAAGTGCATGACAGTGCCAATGTGAACTCTGACTCACCATAAGCATCATACATGTATGTTTAGGCCACTAGGACAGCTAGCACATACATAATGCTTAAACTGATCTTTTTTTTTTACACACACAACCATGTCTTTGTGGGGAGTGTCTCTCTCCAGAACATACCTACATACCCATGAATGTATTTTAAACATAAATAGTACATGTGTCTTTTTACCAGAGAAAAAGTTCTTGGCACGCAGGTAGCTGACACTGAGGCGCAGGATGGACAATTTGTCCAAACTGGCAGTGACCTCTTCAGGGAAAGGCAGCAGAGAGGCCAGTCGCTCCAGCTCCCCATTCAGCCGGTCTCTGTGCCGCTTGGACGGGTTCGACTTGGTGCCCTCATTGGAGGGTGGCTTTACCCTGGAAAATAGAACAAAAGCACAGAATTATTTGGTTTGCTTAACCTAACTTTTGCAACCCTGCAATTCATTTGGATCTAAGGATCTTTATTTTTTTATATTCTTTATTGGCACTGCTTTACAAATAAAATGCATGTGTTTCTTGTATTGTTGCCAGATAAGTAAAATACACTGATTTCTGTATCTTGAATCAGCATCATGTGGCAACATGATCTTTTGATCATACTGCTTAAACAAAATACAGAATACATTTAGCTTTCCTCATTGGCTTCACAGAATAAATACATGACTTTGAATCTCCCAAACAAAGTGCTCACTTCACCAGTGAGCGGAAACATCTGAGTGACAGGGCTTCACTCTCTGCTTGACCTACAATTCTATTCCATCTTTGAACTACAGCCTCTGTGTGAGAGGAGTATGTTTTTTATGTATTTATTTTGTTAATATAAGTAAAAATCACCTGTAAAAATGCAAAACCTCAAAAATTAGCATTTTACAAAAGTTTAAAAACACATTCATTTTTGTTTTCAAAATATTCTTAATATTTATTTAAGAATTAACTGGTCACATTTCCTATCAATAAATTATGGAGGAGTACGTAGCACTTGTCCTACATAAAAAAATAAAAAAAATAAATATTGTGATATATTATTGCTTGAATAAATAAAAGAATGAAGAAAGATAGAAAGAAAGATAGATAGATTATAGCACCGTCCTCGCAGACTACATTTCATTCACGTATAGAGATATAGCTACCTGTTATAGCAAGAAAATAGAACCTCATGTATGAAGTGTTTTAATCTCCTACAGTACTGGGCACTGGACAACATTACAATTACAAAATAAATTATTATTAAATTTATTCACCAAAAATATTCAATTGTGTACATCCTCAAAAGCTTCTGGTCGGCCTATTGTTGCGATGAAGTTTGAGTTTTATTTCTCTGAAAGAAAATAATCGCCAGTGGCCTATATTACACCCTTCCTGAACCATAGGCGTAGCCAAGATTTTAGTGGACATTTGACAAATATCAGCGTGAAGGCAGCCCTTTATCCAATAACATGGGTGAATAAAAATGCCCTCTGTTCCAACATTGATCTAAAATAAAGATAGGCTACATGGGCGAAGGGCGTATTGGCAGAAAATGGCGCATGTAGGTGCACATCGTGACAAAAAGCGGAACGTTGATTTTCGCACCAGAACAGGGGTCTAATATTCCTAATAGGCCTAATGATGATGCAGATGAAGTTTGCGTGCTCAGAGCGCTGCGTTTTGCTCAGTTAGTGTCACACGGGGATTTACGGTGCACATGAACAGGGCTGTGCTGAAGGTTAAAACGAGGCCGCGCAGGCCTGAACTATAATCCACGGCTTTAAACCGCACACAACATTTGAGGTGAAGATATTTGACGATGTAGACTACCTTAAACAATCTGATAAAATACATAAGGCCTAAATAACCATTGTGATTTAAAGATGGGTAGCATGCATGCTGTGGTAAGAAATAGGCCTTGCTTGAACTTGATTTAGGCCTAATTAGTAGCAACTCTGAAGAGGCTACATCTGTAATAGACATAGGCAACATTTTTTAAGTGTAGCATACTGACCAAAAATGTATCACTAAAAGCAAAAGACGGCACACACGCTGCTTGTTTGCAACTTACGTTCTTTGCACTGGTTTTCTCCTCTTGCGTCCCGCATACATGACGGCTCTTATATAAAGCCTTGTACGGATCCCTCAGTAACAGCCTTTGCTCTGCTACATGTAAAATCCACACTATTTATCTGCACTTATACACCTCAGAAAAAAACACTATCTGAAATTATATTGAGGATAAAAGAGGAAAGGAGCGAGATAACGCGGCTTGAGGTGCACAGAAGGACGCGCGGCGTATTCTTCAAGTTAGCTGAATCCTCTTGGACAATATAGGAGCCCAAAAGTCCGTTTCAAATCGCCACGGTTTTTGATCATCGAGGCAGACAGTGCCGGTCCTGTGGTCTTCAGAGTGAGATGGAGCAGCGGTCCGGCGATAGCATCTTCATCAAAGGAGAAACACGACGCTAGCTGCCACAGTGCCAATAAAAAAAGCGAAGAAAAATATCCATAAACACATTCAATAAACTTTAGCTATTTACAAGTAAATACGTCAGCAGTGCAATGCAATTAGCGGTGGCCCTAAACTAAAGGGGCAGGACGGGTGCGCGCATTCCTCAGGCGGGTACGCCCGACACAGATTTCCACCGGGTGCGCGCATCACAAGCTCCTTAAACCTACCACCCCATTAGAGCAAAAGGCAAAAGAGGAGGAGGGGTTGGTGGCGCGGTCACGTCGGAGAATCTCCTGGAAACACAGGCCAAGCGCGTCCACCTCTGCGCGCCCCCGATCTACCCCGGCTGTCCAATCAGCGCGCAGATGAGAGATGGAGGTTTATGTTGAGCCTGCAGTTGCCCATACTGAATGTGGGTCAGGGGTTAGACTTTTAAATAATGTAAGAAAAAAGAGCCAAGCCTGAAGTCCCGGACCATACCTGCGCCAAGATGTGTGCAACCTGATGGGACATCACACCGCATATAAAATAAACAGTGTCCACTGGCCCCCTCCCTTTGTTTCTGTGACACTGACTGACTGTATTTCAAACTGTATCTAGCTTTATGGGTAATATAGACTATAATGTACATGCTGATGATGGAAGGTAGCCTCTTCGTAGCTTTTCCATGTGCTCAAATGCTACCCATGTGACAAGAGCATCTATGACTTCTGACCTTAGTGTCTCAGCAGGCCACAGACTATGATCACGGCAGGCCAGATTTTATTGTCATTTGTAAACTCAGTGGACAGGTGTTCAAATCCAACTGTGTTTGGACAACAGACAATAGCAGACACTTCTCTATATCTACACTACACAAATGCTTACACTGAGTCATGACCTGATAAGACGCCTTAGGGTGCTACAGACCCCCACTCAGAAAAAATAGGCCAGCCCAGTATGATTGTATAGGCAGCTGTATTGTTGTGTAGATTTACTAATAATATAATTTTACTACTTACTGAAATTCCCCCCATATACATTTACTAATTATCTAAAATATCAATGTTAACTATGGACACATTTTATGGAAAAAAACAAAACCAAATCTGTTTGTGGTCTGCTCAAAAGCTAGTATAGGGCCAGTGCCAATCGTGGATACACAGAGAATTTGGGCCAGGAAGGTCATCTGATTTAAATATTCAATGTAAGATTTTTATTTGTCTTTGAAATTATTCAACAATATAGCTGGAGATGAGGTGTTAATTCTGCATTGTTGTATAAAAGGACCCCCATCAAGTCATTTTTATAAATTGTACAAAAGGGGGGGAAAAAGATAAATTCATGTCTTCTCCACAGTGATGCACATGTACTGACCTTTGTTGGTAGTGAAGGTGAGTGTGTGCTAGTGGCAGTGTGTTTTTTGGCGGTCTGTAGGGGCTGAGTGTAGGAGCTCAGCGTTAGTGTTTGTTTAGACACAAGAGAGTCCCGTGGGAGGACGCCACCATAGCTGTAAATGTATTTTCCTTGCTCAGCTCTGAGAAAGAGCTGGGTTCTTTTAGCTCCATCTGAAAGTCAAGGTCGTCCTGTTTGCCTGTGGGGAGATGTTACAGTTCGCAGTACATAGGTGAAACATAAGTGTGTTTTTTCCTATTTAAGCTAAATATGAAGTATATATATACAAGCCTTAAACATGGACCTGAGGTTATGGAAATTCTATAAATTATTAAAAAATTGAAGCCTGTGCCCTGTATTACCATTATTGAACTATAGGCGTAACCAAGGTTTTTATGTTAACAAATAATGCGAAGCTAGCTCTTTAGCCAAAAACAACATAGCTAAATAAATGATAATTAAAATGATTAATAATGTATCATTTCTTTTCCTTAGGTATATGAGTGTGAGTGTCAGATTGGGCTGCATTTAAACTTTTGACCACTCATGACTGTCAGGGTATTTATCAGCACATTGGAACACACATTAATAAAGATCTTGAGAACAGCTCCTTCAGTGTAATTATCACAGTGTCGCGATTCTAGTTGCTCTAGTTTGGGTTCCTTTGTGACTTGAGGTCATGTTTTACCAGCTCTTAAGATGAGACACTCATCGCCATCACATTCACACACTGAGATAAACATACATGTCATTAGGAGCCAGAGTGCCAGTCAGAAAACCCACTGCTGAGAGGCCATGACACAGACTCCACTCAAAGGACAAACCCATACCTTTCCCCTCCGCACAACATCAATAATTAATGCATTAAACTTATATCTTGCATTTATTCAGTTACACATGTTTTTATGGCTAAAATATCTGGGAACCATTTCTACTATGAGTAAATTAAACTCTTCGCAAATTTTACATGTAACTTGGCTCGGTAGCAGCAACTGCTTGTCTATAGTCCAAGTTTAACACCATGCTGTGGAACATTTACATGGAAGCCAATAGGTAGTGGACACTCCCATAGAAAAGTGACGTAGTACACCTTTGGAGGAGTATTTATTTTATATTTTGTCGAATCAAAAGTTGAATATTATCAGTATTATTAAACTCTAGACTTGTTAAGAAGCAAAGAAAATCAAAGGGATGAAAGATATAAAAGGAGAAATCGAATCATACAATTATCTGTATAAAATGTCAAGTTTGCGTGCAGCTCTTTGCCTCTGATCCAGCCAATGTTCCCTTTCACTCAGAGCTGTGGTTTCAGACTGATAATTTTAGTTGTGGCTTGGCTGAATTGTATTTGGTGGAGGAGTATTTTTATTTTATAACTTCCATCTTTATATTAACTAATAACTTGGCGTAGTGTTGTGATCCTCCTTGCACAAAATGAACTATGCACCATCTGTCTTAAGGCACACAAACCACAAAGCCACATTCAAGTACAGGCCATGTCAGTCTTGTTATACTACAGTACAGTCATACAGTCATCAAGATAGTGAGTTGTCGATGTGATGCCAAAATACCCCCAAATGTAATACAAACACATTCATCACATAAGTAATAATCATAATGATATAATAATAAAACACCCGTTAAATCCAGTGCGAAGAGTGCTTGGAAAGTGTTAGAATGCTACAGATTTCTGAGAGCACGCCCCCTGGTGGATGTGCAGAGGAAGTTCTAGCAAGGTTCTTCCAAACATAATCACCCTTCTGAGATGTCGACCTAATTAGGTTTAGTAATCACATTCTATAATTATATAATAACATTTGTAGTATTTTTTGTTTTGTAATTGTCTAGAAACTCAACCACTGATTTTACCGTAATATTCTACTAATATTGTTACTATAACAATACTTAATGGATGTAGCATGCACACTTGCTGGTTTATAAAAAGGAAGTCACAACAAAATTCTAGTTACCAGATTACTTAATTTACTTAATCTGAATTTAGAAAACATACTTTTTTTTCTCTCTCATTCTAGGGAAAGGCTGTGAAAGCTCAAAATTCCAGAATTCACACACTGAGCTGCAGAGGCTGCACTACCACTGATTAAAGATGCAAAAAGACAGCATACTGTAATTGAGAGACTGATGTGAGGCTCATTCTGCTTTCTGATTAGATTGTCTTAAGAACCACAAAAAAAAAAAACAAAAAAAAAATTAAACAGCTTGACATGTACAACATTACCATCCGTAAATGCGATATCTGATGTCCTCTTATCTATAGAGACACATATGGGTCATGTTTATAAAATTTGAAATACAAATTCTACAAAATGTAGGATGTAAAAAAATCAATGAAATGAACAGTCAAAAAATATTTACAGCTGAATGCATGATGGGCAAATGATCAGACTGAAAACACAGCTGTAAGCATTGCACAAATATATTTATGAAAAAGCATACACAACAATACACAGTTGGTGGTTATTTGTTGTACATATATTACGGTATACATACTATAACTACAAGGCTAAATAAACATTGATTATACTCAGCTGATGTAGTAAAATATTTTACAAGAAAGAGAAATATGGCAATTGTCAAGGCACATAGCTGTGAAAAGAAATTACAACAAAGGAAAAAAATGGCTCCACATTGTGTCTAAATTAAAGTCCATACGAAATTTATAGGGCATCCTTGAGCCTGCATAGGCCAACTCCACAAGAGATTTTCTGTATAAGGCACATCATCAATAAGGTCCATGCATCAGGTTAGTAGTTTCATAATATATTTGTAGATACAGCATGATTCAAAAAGTTCAAATACTGAAAGATTTCCCACATTGCAGCAGGAGTCCAGTTAAGCTGCCACATTAATGCTGTTCATACCAGACTAAACCTTTTACTGTTACATGTAGTGTTGAAAATTATAAACCGTAGCACTTCAATTAATCTGCTAGTTACTTGTCAGATTCAAAAATTGCAGTTCGAATTGTGGTTCTTTTAGAAAGCTGCCCCATGTTGGGCAGGTGGTCATTATGCTATGCTTGATCACTATTTTTATTTATTGAGTTTATTACATAGAGAAGGCTTTAGAAAATATATCAGAAACTATACTTACATGAAGCAGAGACAGAAAACGTTTTATAAGATTAAATGTTGAGCTGTTTAGCTGCCTCTTTAGCTTGAAGGCACAAGAAATTTTATACTGTGAGGAATATTAAATTTCTCTTGATTTGTTTTTTCAAAATATACTGAAGGCAAATTGGGTTAAGTGCTCATGGAGGTATATCTCCATCTTTAGTTAGGGCTAAGTTTCAACTTGAAGGTCAGCGCATCAACACTAGAGGAGCTGACAGCACCGAGGCCGATTTTCCCTTTTTGAAGTCTCTGTCAGTGTCATTTTGACTCAACATTGGCAATTTGTATTATTGTAGGTTATTTCTTTTTTAAAGACTATAAAATTTCACAGTTATTTTGCAATGGCATTTCTCACTTTCCATACATTTTTACATAGGAATCGTATTTTATTTCAATATACATTTTACACACCATCCCAACTTTGTTGGTGTTGCTTTTTTTAATAGTTTATATTTTGGATGTGGACTCATGGATTCATGTATCATTATTCCTTATGCTCAGCAGCCTCAGTCAAAGTCTGGCACAAAAACAATGTCATGAATGAAACCATCATAAGCTACACTGTCTGCTGGTTGTAAACAGCATGTTGCTTTGCTGTTGATGTGGCGCGATGACTAATATTATATTATATGTTTGTATTTTCTTATTTATTATCTCAACTTTTCTAAAGAACAATACACTATGTTTTGTCTGAAAGAGGAATGACATCACATTCAAATATTCATGATTTGGTATAAAACAGGCACTGAAGCTTTAAGACACATAAGTGTTTGATCTTTGACTGCTGTACATTCACAAGGGACTGTCCCATGACTGAAGTGCTTTCACTAGTCTCTGTAGTCTGTGGTGTTAAGGCTTAGGTTTCAACAAGGGCTCCACAAAAACATGCTATTCTGGAAACAACCAGACAGGCAGTTTGTGCTCTGAATATAGACTTTTTAGGTGACATTAAAAGCACAGGCATAGACACATGTAATCAAATGTATTACTAATGTCTTCTGCACACAAGATTGTTTTAAGTCAAAGATGACCTTCTGTTTAGACACATAAAAACAAAACATATCAGCAGAGTACATTTCTATATAAGATGCACAGAAGTAAAATTTAAAGAAAGAAAGGTTGCAAGATAATCTCAATGATTTTGCTGTAAAAATGACTTTTTGTCAAATTATTTTTTAAAGATTTGTCAAAGCTGAGGTAATATGTATTTGCTGCCCTCTAGTGGACAAAAACAAAATGCTTCCTTATTAATGCTGCCATCTCTAAAATAGGGAAACATGTGTACATGCATTGTTCGTTAGCTTTAGTGAAAGAAACCTTTCTACTACAGCATTTTGGTTCTGTAACATGGTGTAACAAGTGTATCTTTGGATTCCAGCACCTGAAGTGCTTTGCTCTACTTTTTTTTGTGATTAATATATACGTATATATTTAGTAGAGTAATAGGAAACTCTTAAGTGCATAAATTCACATCGTCTGCATGTATTTAATATATATTTCTGTGATTTTCTTTGGTGGTTTACACTCACATGACCAAGGCTGACTGAAGCTCAAGCTCCATTTTTGTAAACGCACTTGTGGGTTTATACTTCATGATTATCATAGTGTATCTTCAGACAAAATGACGAGCTACAGCATTTAACATAAGCTAGAGCAGTATATATAAGGCCGCACAACACAGAACAAGATAGTTACATTTGGGTAAGCATGAGAATGTGAGGGTAAGCACTGATACAGGCAAACTATACTGGTGTCCTTCTACTAGACTTGTCAAAACATCAACATGGCTCAGGTCTACTCCCCAAAGTGACTGCATCCTGAGCAGAAGAAGCTCCTATTGTGTTCTCCAGCGACGGCTTTGTCCTGCTGAGGAGGAAGAGACACAAGAGTCAGAATTTAACTCTCTAAATGTGCTATAGAGACAACTGACATCATTTTTTACACTACCAAAAAAAAATAATAATAAAAAATACATTTGATAACATGTAATTTTGTGAATAGTGTTTGATAATAGCCTAAACTAATCAGTAATATTAAAATATAATTTTATTAGAAAAGTGGGTAGATTAAATATGAATATACACTGGTTTTGTGCATTGTGTGTAGTTATAATGTTACTACCTGTGTCTGTTTTTGGCACTCCAGGTATGACTGAATGCTGAGGCCATGCTCTGTGGAGGGCATGCTGGCTGTGAAAGTCATTTGGTTGGGGTTGACATTATTATCCTGGTTGATGCCTAATGCACAAACCCCAGGCTCACTGTGTCTCCACTGGAAGTAGCAGGGGTTCTGAGGAGCAGTCTGGTCCAGAGAAGAGTCGCTGTCACTCAGACTTAAAGAACCAGAGAAGGTAAAGCCATCACCCCCTGCTTGGCTGGAGGAAAATGCCTGGTTGTACATACAACTGCTGTGAGAAGCCGTTTGGCCACATGCCAGCCCTCCCTGCTGCTGAATGTGGCTCAGTCCATTAACACTCCTGGGCAAGTGGCCAGCATGTGGAAATGTTTGGCTTTCTGGAGATAGACTGTGGCACGCTGGTATGGGATCATGTCCATTCTGTGCAATGCCACAGTGGGGCAGTCTCTGCTGCTGGCTCTGTGGCCACTGCTGAACCTGCTGCATTGGTTCAAAGTGTGAGCCTCCCTGCCCCTTGGTTGAAAAGGGAACAGTTATGTTTGGAGCTGTAGTGGAATTTAAGTCATTGCAAGGAACAAGAGGCGGTAAAATGTCCATCACGTGAGGTGACAGGCTGTTGTGCTGCTGCACAGGGCCACACAGCAGCTGTCTGTTTCCTGCCATGGTGGGTTCTTGCAAATTATTTTGAGGACTAAGCAGTGACTGGCCCAGCTGAGGCTGGCCAGGGATGCCTGGAGAGCCGCCCATGTGGCTGTTGGACGTCTGCCTGGAAGCATATTTAAGCGAGGCATCACTGACAGAGGCGTCAGACACACTGAGCTCTGGGAGCTCTATTGACGGGCTGAAAATGTCCTGCAGCTGCAGCTGTTGCAGAGGGGGCATGTTGGTGTCAGGCAGAAGAGGCGGGTGACATAGTTGCTGGGTGCCATTAAAAATGGGCGCTGATGCTGGAGGGGTCACAGCCTTCTGCGGGTGAGTGTATAGAACATTCACAGGGGAAAAGGCGCAGCCTGGGCTGGGACTCTGGAACAACTGTGGCGCTGTGACCGCATCTGGCATATTACTGACTCCTGCCAGACAACTAGGAGGGCTGCTGTTAAGATCAGTCTCATCTTTTTCTTTGAACAGCACAGAGTCAATATAATCAAAAATCTCATTAGTGAGCACTTCGTCCAGCTCAGCCCTGACGTCTCCCTGCAGATCTCCATCATCTTGGTTTATTCTCTTCAGCGCATTCTCCCACTCAATCAGCTCCTCCTCTGGCACATCCACATTCTGCAGCATGTCAGCAAAGTTCCCGTTTTGAGCCATTTTCTCAAGTCCATCAATTATGGCCATTACTGACTGTTTGGCCTCCTCTTTGACCACTACAGGCTGTCCTGCTGTGGGAGAGACACCATTCTCCTGCCAGGAGTCATTGGTCACAGTGACCAGAGCTCGACTGTCCATGAACACTTGGTCCACAGGCAGAGGCGCCTCAATGTTTTTAGAGTACACAGTGGGATCTTGTTTTAAGAAGCTGTCCACCAGTGAGCCGGGGAACACTGCATTTGGGCTACTGATGCTGCTAGTGCTGCTGGTGCTGCCAAACTGGCTGTTGAACTGAATCTGAGCCAGGTCCACTGTGGGGCTGTTGTTATACAGTAAGGCCTCCCCAGAGGTGAAACTGAAGGGCAGCTGCAGCCTCCTCTGGCGCAGGTACTCCTCACCCTCCGCATTTCTGAAAAAAGTCAATTGAAATAACAATGTAGGATTTGCACAGCCAATAGCCGGATTGAAAAGTAGTATAATGAAAGACAAAACATATATATTAAAAATAACTTACACTAAAGCCTTTTGATAAGCAATGATGAATTCAGGTCTTCCTCCTTTAAAAATGAGTTTGGCATTGGATTTGACCCAAATCCAACCTCCAGATTTAGTGAGAAGCCTGAAGACTGTTAGACCACTCTCTCCTGTTTTAATCACTGTTAACACAAAAGCACACACACAAAGAGGGAATATGAGAAATTAAAGGAAAAAGTTAAAGATTGACAACAGTGCCAAATATTGTAGACTTGAAATGGGCTTCATACTTCGAATGTGGTTGTCAGCGCAGTACATCATATCAGCAGCATGTATGAACTGGTAGCCCGACCCTTTCATGCAGAGTTCTATCTCTGAATAACCCAGAATGATCTTTCCTCTGTAAGTAAAAAATAAGTGCACAATTAAAATAAAATCTGACAACTTACTTAAAATATCTGAGCCAACTATTGTAAAGCTAAATTACCGTCCATCGACGCCAGTAGGAGTAAAGTCGAGCTTGTGTTTGGTTTGAAATAGGAGCATTTTGGCCCTGATCTCCACAATGGTTGATGGCTGCACAGGCATAGCAATGGAGAAGAGAGCCAGCTGTGGTTGGCTGCGTGTCCCATTGTCCCTTAAAACACTTTGGCCATGGAGGTACTTCAGTCGCCCCTGGAACTTAAGGGCCTGAATTCAAAAATAGGGTTAGAATTTCAAGGGACACTATATACTGCTGTACAATTTGGGCTGTTTAATTATAGCAAAAATTACACAATCATTTGACTGGAATTGAAAAGTGACTTGGCTCCAGGTTTTGGCAGAACAAGAGCATATATAATTCTGAACAGAAGGTAATTCATTGTATATTGATTACAACATTTTTGTAGTAGAAATCCTGATTATAAAATTGAATAATTACACAGCCCTGTGTTGTTTTAAAAGACCACTGACCAGAAAGCCAGAAGAGTTGTCTAGAAGGCAGCGGAATCGACACACAAAACTCCTCTCCAAAAAAGAGGAGTTTTCTGGAGGGAGTTGATCAGGGTTGTAGGACACACTTTCAGCACAACCCTGCAAGCCTGCTCCACCAAAGACACATAGAAAATTGCAACATTAGCATCAAATCTGAAAACTTAAGGTACAGACAAAGAACAGCTCTTTAAAAATAAAGGTATGCTATGTAACCTTTCTGGTTGGGGGTCAGCCACCTGCTTGTCTTCATGGAAATGTTACTGCTTTGCTTGGAATGTTCCACACTAAAGCATTTAACTTATCTGTCTCAATGAAGACATGCTGGTGGTACTATCAGGTCACACTATAGAGATCACTATAGAAGTCTGTGGAAAGGTGGCCCTGCTCATAGTAAGAATGTATGTTTTTCAAGAGTTTTTGAGCATTACATAATGCCATATTGTGTATATAAAGACATTTCCAAGGACACAAGCAGATGGCGGAAGCCCCCACCAGAGTGTAAAGTGTACCTTAACCTTAACCTTTAATTATACATTTAATAATCTATAATATAAAAAAATCCACTCACCAGCTTCATCTGGGACTTCAGGAGGGTTTAGAGCAAAGTGCAGCTGCTGTCTGAACATTTCCCTGTCATCAGTGTGAATGAGCTCAAATACACTCTGGTGCACCACATCGGACTGGAAGAGTAAAAAACACCATTATTAAACATATATACAATAATCAGAAGCTTTGTGTATGTGGTAGTAAACTAGTACAATCTTAAAGTCTCACCTGTTGGAAACCAAGATAGTCCTTGATCGTGGGAGAGGTGTAGAAAACTAAACCATCTGTGGTCACCACCATCACAAATCCATTTAAAGCCTGCAACAAATCAAAATATATAAATAAATGAAAGTAGTCAAAAGCAAATTATGAGAATATGTTTTGAAGGTGGGTTGTTATTGCAAAAAAGAATGCAAGTTGGACTCACAGCTTGAATTAGTAAGTTAAACATGTTTCATTTTGAAGCTTTGCCGATAAGATTTATTTATCACAGCTGTTAATGTTTCCTAACTATGGAAAAGAAAATTGTACTTAGATTACAAGTAAAGGTTTGGAAAAATATAGCCTATAGGTTGGTCAAGAAATATATTATTTTATACTGAGCAATAAAAAAACAACAGCAACAACATACAAATAATCACACAGCACTGGTGTCAATCTTTCTACATAAACAAGTTTACACCTCCCATTGACTGTTTTGAGAATAGTTTGAAATAGTCCCACAACCTGAATGATAAGTGCACCGCCCGAGGCTAGCAGGTGCATCAATGCTAACTCATACGATGTTTATTTGTGTGCGAGCCAGGTGTGTTGTATCACGTGGAGGAGATAATCCACCCGATCCATTCAAGAGGAAGTTGTGACAGGTGAGGCAGTTTGTTTAGCGGCCTCTTGCCAAAGCTGGGACACGCTTTATAGCACATAACAAAACCTGTGGCCCTTACACTGTGCTAACGCTAACTTGTCAGGGCTGCATAATGAGCACAACAGCCTTTGATTACATAACACAAAGAGACACTGACAGACAACTGCAGTTTAGTCACTGAATTTAGAAGAAATGGTCAAAATAATAGTGTAACTAAATTCAAGACAATAGTCATTTTATAATACGGTTTTATGAGATTTGATAGGTTGTCTGTGTGACAAAAACAAGGTAAAATGATACATTTGGGGTAGTACAATTATTCAAATTAAAATCTTTCCTGAAATGTCAACAAATTGCAATTATTGGTGTGGGAGAAAGAACTGAAAGATCTGTAGCTAATTTACGTTAAAAGCTGGTGTACCTGATTTTCACTCCGCAGAAGGAAGAAGTAGGTATTTAACTTGTCCCTAGCTCTAACAAACCCTTTTGCACTTTGTTAATATTCATATGCATTCATTTTCATTGTTTTAGCATTGTTTATTTCAAATAGTGAAATTGGAGTGGATCACCTTCATAAAAAAAGGTTTATAAATAAAATCTGTCTTGTGTATTTGTTTGCAGACCTTTTATTTAAAACACATATTTATTTGTTTATTGTGATTGATCAATATGAGGAAATAAAAGATTAGGCTTGGCCATATTGCCAAGCCCAAAACATGAATGAATCACGCCTTACTGAAAGAACCTGTTTATATGGTAAGGTTATCTTTATTACACACAAATAAGAATACTTGTTAATAATAGTATAAGTATTTGTTGCCCTCTGGGATGTCTGAATATTGTCGAATGTATTTTTATCTGTGCTCAGGGGCAGGGTCAGAGGGGCAGGTCAGATAGCTCATAACCAGGACAGATCAAGTGCAGACATGTTTGAAAGTGCTACTGAGCTCAACCTCACACACACAGCCCTCACATCCAGGGAAAATACACTCATAAAGAGTCTCAAAGGATCTAGGAAGATCTAAATGTAACAGTAGTTGTAAAAGTAATGTAAAACTTGAATTGTTTAGATAAGGTTGTGGAATATTTGGGAACATGAAAAGTGAAGTCTTTTAAGGAAGTACATTAAGCTTTTCATTTGAACACTTTAGTTTGAAGAGGTGGCTTCACAAAATAGCTGTGTTACAGGTTTGTCATGACCTGTGGAGGTTGACTGCTCTACTACAAATTAAAAGATGACTTTTGCTTATCATATTTTTCTAATGTAGAGCAAAGCACAGTGCTGGTAGTATCTGTGTTTATAGTTATTTCAAATCATTTATGGGAAAATAATCAAAATTCTTCCTACATATGGGCCTCAAAATACAGGCAGAGGGCACTTGAAAAATGTGCCGAATCACCATACAACTGGTTCAGTGAAGAACAATCCCAACCCAAAAATTTAGTTGCAAAATGAGATTATACATGTGCGTGTGCTTGTGTAAGTACATGTAATTGCATATAATCCATGCAGTACCTGTAGTAGTAGGTCACCCTCGGAGAAGCCAGCAATGTCTGTGTTGTTGTTCTGTCCACTGAGTCCAGGCACCATCAAACCGTTGTTCCCATTCTGACCATTCACTCCCGGAAGCATCAGGCTGTTGTTCCCATTTTTTATGGTTGCTGCAAAATAGTGGAAATGTGTCAGCATAGGTCAGGAGCAGTGCAATAACCATAAAAAGTAAAAACAACTAATTTATAATATCAGTTCAAATACTATTTATATATTTTGTACATTTTATATGTTGATATAATTTTTTGGTAGTTTTTTTAGTTCAGTATGGATCATAATGGCAATGCACAAAGGACTTAACAATGCTTCATTCATATAGCTATCTTATCAAATGTCACAAGACAGCACTATGAAATCTGGCATACAGCCTGAGGACACACTATCATTAGCTTCCTGTACAGATTCAGCAGTAATAGGCATTTTTAAGCAGCTCTTTATTGGCTAATGAGATGGGGTTCATGTGTCTTTGCGTGCGACTGAACTCTTGAGATTCTGTACAGGACCCTATGTGCCGCCAGTCCATTGATCTCAAACAACAAAAGTAGAGTATCTACACCCTTTTCTCTTTTTCTTCCTGAAATCCTGATCCCTGCATTTGTGCCATTTCACAGGTGACAATAAGCTCCCAGTAACAGGACACTGTCAAGCTTCATCTATTATGCCCTCAGCGCTGTCAAAGAGAGAACAAACTATTTCTAATGCAAATATTGACAACATTTTTATGAGTACATTTCAGCAGTTCCTCTATGACAAATATAAAAAGGTGTCAGGGTGTAGGACACTGCATCGACCTGCACAAGTGCACTATTCATTTCTCTGTTTGTTTTGGATTTGCACTGGCATCTGCTGCCAGTCATCTGTACCGAACACCCTACTGGTTAGGCAACTCCCACAACACTCAAAGTGGCCATTTGTTCAAAATATATTTTACAACTTTGTCTTGTTTTGTTTTAGTTTTGATTGTTTCTTGTAGAACACTGTAGTAAGATGTGTGACAATACACATTCAACATAAGCTTCAGGCTTCAATCATTTATATTTATACAAGTTTGGAATCAGTAGACACTGGCTTGGAAGCTAAATTCATCTTTTTTTAAAAACATTAATACATAGGATTTAAAAAAATGCAATTTGCCATTGTTGCCAATGGGTTTTCAGCAATAGTCTAATCTAGTGGTGACTCAAATATCCACACACAGAACACACACACAGTACTTGTGCATCTGTCCCTGGAGGGGGCTTTGTAAGCAATAGCCTACATCAAGAGCGCTTCCCTTATCTGGACAGCCACTACAGGAAAATCCCAGGATATGGCCTCTCCCAACCAGTCGGTCCAGTCCTGTCACGCAACTTTCTTAAAGGAGGGAAGGGGCCCCCGGACACTCCCCTACAAACACTACAGACACTTGGACACTCCCCACAGACCTGAGCGAGATCTCACACTCCACTTCTCCTCAGAGCACGGTCTGACATGCTTGTATAGCTCGGCACAAAGACGTGTTGAAAGACAATACATTGGCTCATACGGCACAATGTATAACCGGCATAAACTAGCTTAAGCTGCGCTTAAAAACACAGTTGCAAAGTCCAAATTTGAATTAACCACCATATCCCTCTTGGTGAAGTTTTTTTTTCCTCCTTCCAGAGTTTGCGTGAGCTAGTGGGCCTCTTCGGGTCTGCATGTTTGTTTTGATTCAAGTTTTTTTTTTTTTTTCCCTCCAAGTGGTTAACTCATTGTGTTCCTCCTCCTAATGCCTTTTGTTTCCTGAAAGTTAAATTTAAAGTTCAGACAAGTGATTCTTGTGGCACTCTGCAATGACGCAAGGTCAAATCGTATATATATATATATATATATATATATATATATATATATGTATATATACAAAAATTGCATTGTAGTTGCAGTATATTTTTATGCTGAACCAAGAGTGGATTCAAATTACAATCTTGCTAGATTGAGTTTCAGAGTACATAACTTGGTTTTAACCAAGAATACTACTATGTATGTATGTATGTATGTATATATGTATGTATGTATATATGTATGTATGTGTGTGTGTGTGTGTATGTATGTATGTATATATGTATGTATGTATGTATGTGTGTGTGTGTGTGTGTGTGTGTGTGTGTGTGTGTATGTATGTATGTATGCAAATACCTCCACAGGTTAAGAGTCAGACATCTGTCTGCTCTTATTCAAATAACTTTGCAAAACAAGTAACAAACAGGTTGGAAAGTTAATGCTACTGTAACCTCCCAGACAACACAACCATCAGTAGGTCTTCCTGTTTACTATACACACATAAAGACAAAACATGGAGTTAGAATATTGTTAATGTAGGCTTCTCACAAAGGATTTACACCGCAGTCATTAATATTCCAAATGTAAAGCATTAGAAACATCAAATTATTCAAAATATTTACTTTAAAGATGTATTAACTCAAAGAAGCTTAAAGATTAAAACTAAATTTGTGTTCAGACACTTTTTGGTTCTGTCTCTTCACTCAGTCAGTGATCTAAACATTCATAAATCCAATAGATCAAAAATGGAGATGAGTGAACAAAGACCTATTGTTTTGTATAATATCTCATCTGATATCACACTTGCACTATTACACAGATTTCAAAGCACCATTGATTTACGAGATCCATTCATGAGTAACAGTGGAAGTGACACACAAGCTCGTCCAGGAGGATTCAACAATGACTAACTTCTACAACAAATCGGTGCGTGCAATGGCGGCTAAACTCTGAAGTAAGAACGTCTCTGCTCTTGTGTTTGTGGAAAGCCCCTCTCTCCTCTATCCCTGCTTCACCTGGTTTTCTCTGGCTCCGCCCACCAGTGCTGTACGGGAAGCCAGCTCACCTCAATCTCTGCTCGTGATCAAAGCAGACCGGGAGATAGTACATTGCTTAAAACACGACTATTGCCTTGCTCCAAAAAGTTGTCTACAAATTTTTTAAGCAATAAATTTAAGTACACAAAATGTGAACGCATATGTAAACTCAATATTCTAAATGACTTAGTTAAAGGGCTACATGATAATTTATGAGGTCACTTCTTACTCAGCCAGCAATAAAAACTGTCACTCAAAACATAGCCATTGACTCAGAACTGGGTCAAGGTTTGAAAAAAAGGAGCAGGTTGCATAACAAATGTAGACTGTAATGCATAATAAAGTATATCATATTGTGTAGTATTACTATTTAGTACTGATTGAGAACATTTCTAATTGCCGTGGTTAAGGGTGATTGAATGATCGCCGCTTTGGTAAACTAACCAATTAGTTTTAAGGCTGACATACGCCCAAACCATAGTGAGAAATTGAGAAAATTGCAATGGCTGCTGTAATTAGAAAATGTCCTCCGCAAACCACAAAAATAATAAAGCCTCTATGAGCAGCATTACAGCATTATAATGTAGTATATATGTTTGTAAAATTGGCTAGCCGTATAGTTCAGATGTCTACAAAAACAGTGAAATGCCTTATTCTAGTATTAGTTTACTAGGTTATATTTCATTGTGCTATATGTGTCTGGAACAGCCATTAAGAGGAATCAAAAATCATCTGTATTTTAAAGTTGCATTAGGTAACTTTTCTGATGGATGGTGCGTCACCTGCTTTGCCAGAAAATCCCACAGATAGGAATTAAACTATCAAGCAAGTGATGCCACCAGACCAAGTTGCAGGTCAGATGTGTGGAGAGGAAAGGCCTTTTGGAGTATTTTTGAGCAATGAGAACTTTAATGCCATACTGTGGAACATTGCTGGCAATGCGATGACATGAAGATGAGCAGAAGATGACCCTCCCCTGAAAAGTAACACAGAATGTACCTTTAAAGTGAGATTAAGAGCTAATAAAACATATCTGAACTTTATTGAGGTTATGTTGAAAAATATATAGATTACACAGTGAGATAGATATGCGTGAATATTGTTTATGTAGGCCCAGGGTTAGAAAGCTATTCCAAACAGGCTCTGATTAAAACAATGGAGTGGAAATCCCGTGGTTATGCTCATCTGTTTGAACAGATGAGCCATTCACATCAATGTTCCTGGAGCCTGGAGTATTTTGGGAGGACACTATTCATGCACCCAAATATTCTGCAGTCTCTTTGTTTAAGACATAAATCTGCTGCGCCAAGTCTAGACAGAATACAAAAGCCCTCTAGGGTCAAAATTATGATATAAAAAAGTTTCCACTATGACTAAAAGTTGAAATTAAAGTTATTTTTACAAGATGTTGAAGAAAAATTCTTCAAAGCTTCAATACTAAGATGTAATTCAACTATGTGAGTGGGTCTTTTCCAGCGCCAAACTACAGCTTCCCCTTTCAAAAAGCAGGCAATTATGGGATTGGTAAAATGCAGAGAGCTTTTCATGTAGGATTTACTCTGGTTGCACATCTCCGCCAGTGAGGCAATAAGGTAAGGCCTGGAAGATTTTGACATGGTTTAATTATTGGGTAATTAAGTGCAGTTGAAGTGCTGTGGGGCATAAGAGTTTATAGAGATGAGATCCAGTCTGACGAATCAATATTTGATTTCTCACAGCTGAAGGAAGTAATCTAAGGACAATCTAAGAGGCATGCTAAAATATATTAATCAAGTATGAATTAAAGTAGTTCAGTTTGATGTTTGTTTGAATTAGTTCTTGGGGCAATAAGTATCAATACCAAGGGTAAAAAATAGTACACAGCACAAGATTTCTACTAATCTACTTGTGCTCAACAATTCATGAAGCTGTATACCAGAAGTTTATGTTAGTTTTATATTGGATTACATGGATTCTGTGACTAGCCCTGCCTATTACAAGTAATACTGTAATACTTCAACCATTTGTACTACTGCTTTTTACTACAGCTTGTGTACTACTACCGCCACCTCTACTAATACTTGTATTAGCAGTGTCCAAACCTGCAAACCTTGCTTAATCAATGACTAGTTCATTACAAGACAAACAAGCAAGACTAATACCTGCTGGCTGTATGGCATAAAATCATAACTAAACTGGTAAATGTTTTCTGAATACAGAGACATTGAAAGGAAAAAAAAACAAGTGACTTAAGCCATAAATTGCAGTGTAAAAGCTGAACTAAAATGACCCTTGTGCACAAAGTCTGCCTCTGACTACAGCATGTGGTGTGGGGCC